AGGCAGGGACGTTAGAAGTTCTTTGTGATAGAAAGCTAACAGCAGGAGTACGGGGAGGAGTCATTTTGTCTGGCGGTTGTTCTCCTGTTTTTCTAGGTGAGACTTCTGGGATGAGGCTCTTCAACCTGCCTGCTTTTGTTAACCCTAGACTGGCTTTTGCTCTCTGCAACGTAATTAGAATACTTCAGAGGAAAAGCTGTAGTTGATTGATGAGTACTTTTATCCTTCACTGAGGGTTGTGAGCTGTCAAATCCTACAATGAAACAAATATTCTGGTGCTGAGGAGGAAAGGGAACACTGCATGAAGGCAGAGAAATTAGGGCACTTGGGGAATGTGCTTTCAGACCTAGTTCTGCCTGCGACAGCAAGCTGAAAGGACAGTAACTCTGGGGAAGGAGCACAGTGATCCTTTGGTCCTAGCTCTGCTGCTCTTTCCTTGTCTAACCCTGCCCAGCATCGCCGTCAGCCGCTCAACTGCTTTTGCAACTTCTGAGTAGCCACGCTCCTCCAACTACTTCAGCTCTACAGCGACTGCCTTCTAATGGAAGGAACCATTATCTCAACCATAAGGGTGAAAATACCTGTTTGGTGTTAGTGTGGGTGCAATTCCCTGTTGATTCAGCTCCCATCACCAGGCAAAGATGGGCATCTGTATTTAGTAAGTTGTACAGTGCGAATTATGACTGCCCCAGTCAAACATCAGGGCTGAATGCTGTGTGACCAGTCAAATGCCAACATCAAAGAAGCCGAGAGAATAAAGCTTCAGAAGGACTTTGATTAGAAGAACTTTAAGCGTGGCTCATGTTTCACCTATTAATATTTTGAAGAGAAATGGTCTTGGCAAACAAGGCAAACCACTCAGAAACGCGGCCCTGTGGGAAGCCAGCAAATACTGCTGATGCTCCTGGTGCTGCAGCACAAAGCTCCCCAACTGCACACCATCTCACTTTTCTTAGATAAAACTACTTTCAAGCCATCTGTATGTTCCTTTTGTTAAAGAACACCCCCACTTCAAACAAGGCCTTTCTGCCTGGGCTGCCATTAAGAAATAAAAAGCTGGCTCACGCCTGCTTTGTGATGATGTGGTTGCTCACAGCTCTGCGAGATGCAGTCAAACCATAAGGCTGCACTCATGCAACAGCTCACTTGAATGAGCCTCCTCCTGGAGGTTTCACTCCTCAGTCCAGTGTACTGCAGCCAGCAGTCCCAGCCCTGGGAAGCCTCAGGAACCCACAGGGATCCAGGATAGGGCAGAAGCTGATTCAGCTCCTGTGCTTCACCTGTGCAGGGAATGGCATTTTTTGACCCCTCTAGGCTTCAGGATGTTTTAATGGCTGAGAAGTCTGTGTATATGGCTCCCTGCAAGACCTCATGCCTATGTGAATACAAGGTGAAGTGTGCCCAGCAGAGGATGCTTCCCAAGGGTAGTGGTCCCCCGCTGCTGGGTAAATGCCTTGTATTGATGTTTTGGGTGTGAACTCGTGACAGTCCTGCTCTAATTACTGTTTTTATGATTCCTAATGACAGGCTGTAGGTTTCTAGTTTGCTCCCGGATTTGAGCAGTGCTCAGTGACAGTTGCTCGCTTGGAGCTTACTGACTTCCTCCCGTCTGCGGGTTTGGAGCTGACTTCAGCCCCCTCCTGCACACAGATGGATGCCTGGGCTTCCGAGCGCCACGTGCTTCAGCAGCTCTCCGGGGAGTGCATTCCCATGGAGCAATCTGCTCGTTCGTGGCCTCCGAGTTACAAACAAGCTACTCCTCTCCTCCTGCTCTACCCCTGCAAGCCAAGCTGAGAGGTACCCGAATCCCTCTGTCAGAGCACTGCTCCTTGTTGCCTTTCCTAGCAGTTCATAAGCCGTCACTGGCAGCTGTCCTGACACACGGTTCAGTCTCTGCTGCTGTACCACTGATTCCCTCTGATCCCCTGCCTATAGCCATCTGTCACCTACCTGTCTTAAAGTTAAACTGTCTGCTATTCAGAAGTGGCTCAGATATAAAAGCTTGTAGCTCAGCGGTGTGTCCCAGTCGTGCCCAAAGCCTGTGGCTGCCCGGCTGTGGGGCTGGCATGCCCTCGTGCCCGCAGAAAGGAGCAGTTTCAGTGCCATGCTCTCCCATGCAGGATGAGAGGAGCACACAGGGAAACAGTGGCAACGTCTGGCAACAGCACCAGGAAGCACTAACACTTGCAGAGATCCCAGACTGTTCCTGGAGGAATAGGTGCAATAGTTTGGGACTGGCTCAAATAAAAAGGCTATCTGCTAAAGAGATCTTTCCTTGCTCAGGAGTTTCACTGTGCTCAAGGGGCAGTCGTGGTCTTTTAAGCATGCCCTTCCTTACCGAGCCTAAGGCTTCCCTGCGTACCTGGCCTTGCTGTGTGAAAGGGGAGCAGCCACCTCTGTCATCCACCAAGAATTCTCCTAAGAATACCTGGCAGAGAGACAGTGATGTGGGTAACAGAGCAATGCCACGTCTTTTTAAAAGTCTGAATTTACCTTCTGGCTGCTTCAGCTCTACATTTAATCCTTTGATTCATTATTGATGTCAGGGCTGCGGCGGTGCAGTGGGACACCTGATTCCAGGTATCCATTCACTCAGTTTGCAAAGTGCTGCGTTGAGATGAGTCTGTGGGTGGATGGGGTCCTGCAGGAGCTTCCTGAGGCTTGTGGCTAGAGCAAGGGTGGCAAGGCTGTCTCATGGGGAGCATGAAAACAGGAGATGTGAGATTTCCAGCATAGCAGAGCTGAAAGGCTGAGTTGGAAACTGATTTCTCTTGGCCTTAAAAATGCACGGATGGGACTGCTAATGCTGCTTTTTCTTCCTAACCTACTCAGGAGATAAAGCAGGGATTTCAGACTCCAATCCCGCACCTTCCCCCAGTAGTAAACACACGCAGCATTACCGAGTGATGTCATGGCTGGAGCACATCCCAGCGAGGCCAAGCCTGGATCAGGTTATATCTGTCTTCTCAGAATATTGGCTTACTCCCAGAGGAGCATATTGCCAGCTCAAGGACAGTGACTGAAGCCACCTTTCCCAAGGTCATCTCTCACACGCAGGGAGGACAGCACTTGCCTTCCCATGCATGGTGCAGCCTGAGCCACCCACGCAGGAGTCGCAGTGCAGCCATGGTGATCGCTGGCTGCACACGGAGCAAAACTTCTCGCCTCTCTCCTTCCTGGCACGGCTTTGCGTTGGCACGAGCAAGGCAAGGACCCCGGCACCCCCTTCCTGGTGGCTCATCATCTGCTTGCCTTTGAGGCACAGTGTGAAAGAGGAATAGGAATTGCGTCAACTCCAGCTATGTGGTATGTCTGAAAATAACCAGTCCTTGCAGATCTGTCACATCCAGGCCGGCGTCTTCTGGCTGAGAAGGTCCCAGACTGAGTCCCACAGACCTGAAATGCTGGTTGCTGCAGTCAGTGAGCCACCTAGGCTCAGCTAGGTGATGGTCTGTGCTGGAGCTGGGACCCATTCAGCTCTCAGTACCTTGCTTAATTAAATGGGGGCAAGTTTGCCTGCACTGAGACTGCAGCAAAAGCATAAGGCAGGCATAACAAAACCCGTTTGGCACCCTGTTGGGTCAGCATGGCAGAAGGCAGGACTGTCCTGTCTAAGCAAACTGCACAGCTTCACTTATAATTGGGCTGTAATTCTATTTTAATGATGCAACTCTTAAAAATAGAGAGGCTTAACTAGCAACAGGTCTAATCACAGAATCAGTAGAAGCATATTGTGACATGTCTTGAGCGAAGCTGAGGTAGTGAGGTGCACGGTGCTGGGACCCACAGCCCCTTGTTCCTGGTGCTCTTTGCTGTGATTGCTGCATCCCATGTTTTCCTACTGGAATTCTCACTCGTCTCTGCTCCGTCTGCACAGCCTGTGCTAGAAGGAGCCTTCCCCATCAGTCAGCATTTTTGAACAAGCTATTTCCTCCTTCAAACATAGCTGAAGTGTAAATGACCTCCCAGCGAGCATCCCTCTGCGTGGCAGGGGGAGATGTGACACCCCCCTCTGTCAGGCACCGGGCAAAGAAGGCAGCATAGGCTGGCACAGCACACGCCCTGCTATCATTCCCCAGCCTGAGGGCCACCTCAGGGCCACCACAGCTCTGCAGCACCCATCTCGCCATCGGCTTTGTGCCGTGTCGGACCCGGGCTCCTCGCAGCCTCAAAGGAGCCAGCCATGGGTTTTGCGTGGTGTGCAGGTGAACCTCTCTGCAGGCAGCAAATGTGTCAGGAGAGCCCAGAGCCAAGGTGGGCAGCAACGTGGCCACGGAGCGGCTCAGCCTTCTGGCCGTGCCATGCTGCACGGAGCGGTGTCCCCAGCTGTCACCACCGCCACACTGCCAGCTATGGCCAGCCCGTATGGATTAATTGCAACCGGTTTAATTTTGTGTCTGTAAATTAAGCTGTTTGACGATTAAGCCAGTGATACAGAGACACTTCCAGGAGTGAGGGGGACATTAACATGCTAATAGATCTTGCCGGTGGAAGGTTTGCTTGGATACATCCCAGGGGGCAGATGACAATTAACGTCCTGAGAGACTCTTCTAGAAAGAGGATGCTAATTCGGACCTGCTGGGAAGGAAGAGATCCTCCACACAGATAATTATTTATTACTGTTTTACGTAGCCCTGCAATCTGCACTTCCAGAATGCCTGACACACGTCAGATGGGCGAGCCGGCAGAGCCAGAGCCAGCGGGGGGGGAGGGCCAGAAACTGCAGAAACCAGGAGAAACGCAGCAAAGAAGAAATGCGTCTTCCTGCAGGGAGGCCCGTCGGAGGCAGACGGTGTTTGCGGACATCGGACCTGCAGCATCCCAGCACAGCAGGAGGCTCGCGTGGCAGCGGGGCTGAGGGCACCCGGCCGGCGCGGTACGCGGGGCGGTCAGCGGCGATCTCCCTCGGCGACGGCACGGCCCCGCTCCGCTTTCCGCTCCCCGTTGCCGCGGTAACCGCGCGGCGCCGCCCCCCGCGTCCGCCATCTTGCGGCATGGCAGCGCGGCCCGCCCGGCCCCAAGATGGCCGCCCGCCCTTCGCCGCCCGCTTCCGTCCCCGCTGAGGCCTGCGGCTCCCGGCGCGGCGCTCCCTCGGCGCTCTCTGGCTGCCGCCTCCTCCCGGGAGCGGGACATGGCGCTGCTTCGGTTCCTGCTGCTGCGGGGCCGCTGCGGCTGGCGGGCTAACCCCGCGGCGTGGGCCCGGCCTCGGCCCCGGGGCCCGCAGGTAACGGGGCTGGGCGGGCGGCCTGGGGAGCGGCGGTTCGCGGCTTTATTTTGTTTCTATTCAGCGCCCGTCGCACAGGGCTGCCGTCCGTACGAGTTGTGCATACGCTGCGCGGTCTGCCGCCGGGCCGTCGCTGAGGCTGGCGTTGATCAGAGGCTCTCGGCCCGGGGAGCTGAGCGGGGCTGGAGCTGCGCGGCCTTCGGGGCCCGTCGAGCCCCGCTCCGCAGCACGGCGCCTGGCTGACAGCGAGAGAAAAGACCGCTTTCCGTTCGCGGTTCCGCCGTCTCCACGCGTTCGTTTTACAGCGCAGAGAGCGGTGGGTAGAGAATTGGGAGAGGGCTTTGGCTGCCTCAGAGCAAGTCGCGCAATCCTAGAATCCTTATGAGGCGACCTTTAAAGGCCGTCTGTCCGACTCCCCTCCAACATGGACGCCGCAGCTCCGTCTGCGCTCAGAGCCTTGGCGGTCGGACATCCCTGCACAGCCGGCTCCTCGCCGTGTCACCGAGTGCCCTCTGAAGCTGCGCTCCTGCAGTCCCTGCACGGCTGCTGGCTGCTCGGAGTGCCTGGGAGGCTTTCTCCCGTTCCGCGATTGTGGAACTGTTGTAATGCTAATTACTAGCTGGGAGAGGCGATTTTTTTTCTCTAAATCCTCAGTAAAGGGTATGGGAAATTAAACGATTCTGAAGGTATCCGTGTCAGTGAATGTCATTCAAAGCAAATGTATCTTGATTCGATACGTTTCAATCCTGGGTCCCAAAATTTTAGGTCTGCAGATTGGAAAATTGCACAGAAAAGCCAGATTGGTATATTTTGTGTGAAACAATTCAGCTGTGGAGTCTGATGGCCTGATTTCAGCACTCTTTGAGATTAATTCACTGCCTGGGCATCCCAGCAGTCCAAGCAGGAGGTTGGAACAAGGTGACCTGTAAGGTCCCTTCTGAGCCAAGCCGTTCTGTGATTCTAGCTAGGCCTCCTGCAGGACCCAATGCTCTGTGCTTCAGTGCAGGGATCAAGCACAGGCAGCCCAAGTAGGCAGCGGAAAAGAACAGTTGTGGGGTTGCTGAGTGCATCATGCCAGGCTTTCCAGCTGCCTCAGTTCTGTGGTCAATTTAAATTAGCCCACACTGCTCCATCCCAAAAAGCACTGATGCCAACACAACAGCAATTGTGTTGCTGCCTAGCAGGTGAGGAAAAGGTGAGGGATTTTAACTTAGTTGCTGCTGTCTGGTTTGCTGCACAGCAGCTTGCCTCTGTGCCATAGAGGGAGTCCTACAGCTGAGAAAGGGGAAGGCTTGTGTTTACTCAAGGTATTAGTTTGTGTCAACTTTCAGATGCTGTGAAATTGCCCTTAAATGCCGATTTAAGCTGTAGGCTTGCTGCTGAATTCCCATGGGGAAAACAGTTGTGTTACAGTTGTGGACAAGGCTACAATGTAGTAATGCTTAATGCTTTTCTGCTATGGGGTTGTACTGCATCTGAGGAGTTGATTTCCCACCTGTCTCTACAGAGTTTAGAGCACGGCTACAGCAAGGAACACGGTTGCAGTTTTCAAGTGTCTCGAGTATATGTTTGTATTTATAGCAGTGCTTTCTTTAAACTGAATTGTAAACAACATCTTCACAGTCACATGGCAAGTTCATAGCACAACCAGGAATAATGTTTGGGCTTCCAGCTGCCGGCCCTGTGACTTACCCACAGTATTTTCATGTTCAGAAGTCTTTGTCTCATGGGATCTGGGGATGGTAAGCAGTCACAGTACTTTTCCAATAGCTGTCTTTTTTTTCTTTTCCAATCTTCCTCTTCAGGGCCTTCTGTCACAAACACTTTCCCCCACGTGTCAAGGTCTGGGTGGAGTCCTACTGAAACAGCGCCTCATTCGAGATCCAGCCAGGCTTTGGAATCTCTTGGGTGAGTCCTGAAGAGCAACTGTACAGGTGGAGGAGAAATTTCCTTCCTTGTCATTCCTCAAGCTGAAATCCAGCTGTGCTGTTCTTGGCTTTGAGATCAGTGTTCTGGCTTGTTGTTTGGTGGCAGAGAGGAACAGTGGCACCTTTCCACAAGGAGCTCGGTGTGATGCAGTAAGCACTGCAGTCCTTAGTCATTTAAGAACAGCAGACTTCAAACTGGGGAATCTTCCTGTGTCTCATTAGCAAAGCCTAAGAGGAAAATATCATTCACAGTGAGAAATAGAAGCTATCGTCCTTAAACCAGTTGCTCTGCTTCTCTCATTTTTTTGTGTTTTCTTGGCAACAAAGCTTTCACTTCATTGTTCTGTAGCAGCTACTCTGAGTTTGATCATTTGTTGCCATGATTTCTTGGCTTTTATTAGAGAATCCCAGCAGCACGTTCTGAGAAACCTGCCCTTAACTCCAGCACTCCAGGTTTCCTTTAGCATGCGTCTCCAGCTCCAGCACGAGGCTGCTTTTAACTGACCGTACCAGTTAACTTCAGCTGTGCCTTGGGGAGTGTTTGAATGTTCCAGTACTGGACACGTTTCTCCAGATGATTTTCTTTGCCGTACTAAAATCATGTCTGAACAAACTCGTGTCTTTAGTTGGATTGTTGAGAAGTATGCGTTATATAAGGAAACTGGAGGAGTCTGTCCCTCCCATTGCTCCCTCTTATGAGGCTGTCTCATTTTCTTGGCACGCAGACGAAGCTGTGCTCTTGGGTGGGTGTGGAACTTGGATTTCTGTGCACTTGGAGCTCCTGTGTTTCTGCTGCCCTTGGTCCACCTCTCTCTGTCACCTGAGGTCTGTGGTGGTGACTGTGTAACTCTGCTTGCCTGCAGGTAGCACTTACTATTTCACTACTTCAAGCTGCCAAAGGAGTAACCATAAGAATGGAGGATTCAAAAAGAAATCTCCAAAGGAGGAGGAGGGTATGTATGTGCCAAAAGCATGTTTAATGACACGAATCTGCTGTGAGGGATAAAAGTGGGCAGCATGGGAGGGTGATGGTAATGCTTATCTCTGGGCACTGCGGATTTGTTCCTGTGGCTAAGAGGCAGTGTGAAGGGGTGCACTGTCTTAGCTGCTGGAATGCTAACGCAGGCTGCGGAACTGATTTGTGAAAGGTGCCACTTTGCATTCTGTGCAAATAATGCCATTGATTGGGATTTTTTGCTTTAATTTTGCCACTTTACAGAAGGGAATGGGATTTGCAGAGTTTCAGTCTGGAGGTTTTGGTGCGGAGCACTGACTGAACGAGGAGCTGAATGTTAACGTGAATTGAAGCTGGAATCTCTTGTTCTGTTTTCCTTCTTTGTGGATGTGTTGGCTTCTAGAGGTGTACAGAGCTCGAATTTAACAACAGATTGCTTAGAGAGCTCTTAGCTGTGTTACTAGGGGCACTTGCTCAGACTTTCTCTTTTCCTAAAGCGGGTGTTCCTGGACACTGGGCTGTTGTTTGCTTTGGGTTGCTGTTGCATATCTTGCACTGTCTAATCCCCAGGTGTCCCAGCATGAAGGATATGCTGAAAATTGATGGCATCTCACTAATCGTGTCCTGAAACCTATGGAGCTGTGTGGCATGCCAGGTTACATGGAGAAGTCAAGGGGTGTGATGTGCCCTCTGTGCACCTGGAGCTATTGGGGGGAGGAGAGAGGCCAATGAAATGGCACTAAGAAGGAGCAGGGGTGTGAAATAGCACCTGGGTTCTGGCAAAGGCCTTGCAGGACTTCCACCAGGCCCAGTGTTTTGATCCCTGTGTCTTCTACCACTTGTCTCATACCAGTGGGTTCTCCCCAAAGACTCTTCAAATTGGAGCTGATTTGTGGGTGTCCCTTTTGAGCAGCGGCGTTGTTGGCAATCTTTTCCTATTTGTGGATTGACAACAGCTGTGCATTCCATTTCAAAAGTGTAATTTGACTCTTCTTTTCCAATTCTGTAAGGAAAATCCTCTGCTCGTTTGTGAATGCATTCGCTTTCCCTCTATCCTTCCAAGAACCAAAGTGCTTACAAGGCTTCTAGGATCTGAGTTGGCTGTTTTCAGACTCTGTGGTGCAGTTTTTAGCTGGAAGTCCCACAGCTGAGTTTACTTTTATTGGTTTCGTTTTTAAGAAAGGTGTCAGAAGTTGTGCAGACGAAGGCCTCGTCCTTGTGTCTTGTCAGTAGTGTTTGCAGGAGCATTACAGTGTTTGCAGGGAGGTGGTGGAGCCTCCTGCTCTGGAGATGTTCAAGACCTGCCTGGATGCCGACCTGTGCGACCTGCTGTAGGGAACCTGCTTTGGCAGGGGGTTGGACTCCATGATCTCTGGAGGTCCCTTCCAACCCCTACAATTCTGTGATTCTGTGAAAGTCCTGAGTGTTTTCTTCCTTCTGTGGCTTTAGTGATGCTTGCAGGGGCTGTTGCTGTCTGAGACTTGTTGGATGTCTGTGTGCTGCTTTGTCCTGAGCTGGGGTAAGCCTTGTGTAGATGGAGCACCAGACATCTGCTGCACGTGGGAAGGCACGTCGTGCTCCCACACGTTGTGCTGCAGAGTTTTACCTGGCTATCATCAGGTTATGCAGTAGCTTGGCTTCTCCCTCGTTGTCCTTAAACACAGTGGTAGAATCCTCTCGAATGAACTGACGTGTGAAGTGGAAGCAGTGAGAGGCTGATGCCTTCAGCCTGACCCGTGCCGTTGCACGCCGTCTCTCGAAGCCCAGAGCTGTGGCTTCGTCAGTGGGTCCGTGTGACATTGGTTGGGTGCACGGGGACACGAGTGCAGTGTGGCACAGTCCTCGTTGGAGAAGTGTGGCACAGAGCTGGGGCGCTTCTCGTTAGTGCTTCTCGTTAGTGAGACCACCCAGGCTGGCGGTGTGCGCAGCGCCTGAAGAACCGCGGCTGGTCAAATTAGTAAACAGTAACATGCTGCGTTCTGTGGCCTCTTTTCTCCTGTGATTAATGGATAGCTTGACTTTGGGAGGTGGAATGCTACCCCATGTCTCCAGGGGAATGTTCGTCTCTGCAGTAATTATTAAAAAGAACTCTTCAAACTGTCAGTGCAGCCCTTGCAAGATTTTAATCAGAGAGTTCAGATCTGGGGTTAATGGCAAATCATTGCTTCGTGGAGGCTCTCAGAGACTGAAGAGCTGGAAGAGTTCCCACAGCTGTTGCTGGTGAGTGTCACATCCAGTGCCTGGTTCTCATTTGCTGGGTGTTGTGGTGGGGAGGCTTATGGTGCAATGTGTGAATGTTGCCCTGTAAAGACGGTCACATTTTGCATAAACTAAGAGATAGATTAATTTTGTTCTTAATTAAATGCAGGGTGGAAGAAAGCTTTGCATCGTCTTGTAGCTTTCCAGCCATTTCTGAGACGACTCAGCGGTGGGTTGAACATCTGAGCGTTGAGGTGTGAGGTGCCCAGCGGTTCTCTCTGTAGTGACAGCATCCTCAGCTGTCTGTGCCTTAGAACGTGTTTGTTTGCATCCCATCTGAAACTCAGTACAGAGAAGTGCTTTAGGCACAGCTGGTGCTGAGATCTTCAAGGAGTTTGCACAGCCATAGACAGACTTTCTTCATGTCTGCACTTATTTCTCTGCAGTTTTCTTTTAAAACCCTTTTATTTACAACTTGCCCAGTAGTTGAGGACAGTGCCCTCACTGAGGCCTCTACCATGCTGTGTTTTAATTTTCTTTCATCAAACTGTGCTGGGTGTCAACCTGCAGGGTTTTCTTATTAATTGCAGTGTTCTCACAAAGCTGGATCTAGCAGGTGAGCAGAAGGCATCAAAGAAGGGGCGGATGGGCTGGACGCGGTGTCTGAGCTTGTGTTTTGGAATCACAACCTTATCTGAAAAGCAGCACTGTTTCTATTTAGGAACGAAGCTTTCCTGTTGGACGTGGAGCAGGGCTGAAAAATGATGCTGTGCATCTGAAGGGCACGGTGCTTTTTTTAGCGGCTGCCTGGGTCAGATGTTTGTCCCTTGGTTTTGTGGTGCCCTGCGTGGGCTCCGATTGGTGCTCCGTGATAAATGCCGGTGTCGCAGCGTTTGTTAGGAGCTGGCAAATAAATCCCATCTGAGCTGCAGCAGGCAGATGTGCCTGCAGTCCAGTGGCACAGAATTAATTTATTTCTGGGAGCAGAACGGTGCTTTGTATGCCGTGTTGCTGTCGGCTTTAAATTGCGAATCAAGAATGAGCAGTAAATGATATCTATTGAGAGCTTCACCTGTCTGTAGGAAGAGAGATCGGTCGTCATCTTAACGTGGGAAGCACTAGCTGGCTGCTGGCATTGAGCAGCACTGCCGGGAACTGTGCCTTTTCGTGTGCACCACCAAAGTGCTGGGAGCTGAAAAAGGCTGTGGGGGCAAACCCTGGGTGTAAACCATCCCTTCCTCTCGTGTCATCAGGTCAGTTGTGCAGCAGAGGTGCAGGAACACATCTCACGTTTAAATACCAATCTAATGTTAAAGTGATACAGACCCGCAGTATGGAGAGTTACCAGGCCTGTGTAAGAGTGAAGTCATACAGCGAGGGGGAGAATGTGCTGTTCTGTTAAGGTAATGAGATTGATTTGTAGCGTGTTTCAGCCCGTGGATAAATTGCACGTTGCTTCTCCTGTGCTGGTTTAGATTTACTGCAAATGCGGATATTTTCTTAAGTAGTAAAACTGTTGTTGGTCTTGTGATGCAGGGTGCCAGCAGATCAGGAGTGCAGCTGGAAGCAGTTATACCTTGCAGTGCTGTGCTGCATCATTGAGCAGTGCTGCTAAGGCTGGTTTTATTCTGCCCTAATATTTTTCTAGTAGCTATGGAACAGGACTAAGAGCAGCAGACAGGGCTAGGCAGAGCAGAAGGGTGGTACTCAGAACTGAGCTGTAGTCATGATTTGTAACAAGAAAGGTCTGATGGCTTTATTTGGTCTACGTCTGTAATAGGCTGGGGAAGTGAGGTAGTCCTTCATTTCAGGGCAGAATGGCAGTGGTGGGGTTGTGACAGGTATGGAGGACTGTGACCATCCAAAGTGCCCTGCAGCTGCCTAAAAACAGGGAGCTGCAAGATTGCTGAGTCTTCAGACGTGCTGAAATTTGACAGCAGTGGGCTTTTTTGCCTCGCTGGTGCTTTGGTTCCTCCTCTTCCCAAGGCTGCACTTAAGAGGCAATTCTCCATTGTCTGCAGTCTGTGTAGGCAGTGCCTCACTGCGTGGCTTTGGGGGCACGGGGCACAGCTGTGTGTAGCTGTGGTAAAACAGACTGGGTTGGAAAGCAGCAGTGTGGTGCACCCAGGTTATTGCTGGCCAGTGGGGTGCAAAATTGGCCTCTTTGCAGGTGGCTGCTAGGTTTACAACTGAGTGTGCTCTTATAGCCAGGCTTCTGCCCCGCTGCTGCCCGTGCGTACAGCCTGGGCCCTGGGAAGGCAGAAAGGGCTGCAAGTGTAATGTAAGCCAAAAACCTGGCTCACTGTGTAACCTTGAGCAAATCACACAACCGAGCTGCAAAATGGCCTGTGTGTGGTGCAGGTGCTGCCTCTGGGCACGGTGCTTCCGGGGTACTGCTGCACTCATCTCTGTACAGCACTGCCCCTCTGCTGCACGGAAAGCTCTGCGCTCACGTGTGGAAATTTTTCTTTGATTTAATTCTATTTTTTTTTTTCCCTAAAGAGGAAGAGAAGCGCAGGAGAAGGGAAAATCAGATGCACCTTGAACGCCTGCGGGCTCTGCTCATCATTACTTTAATAGTGCTGCTGTTTCGATTCACGGTCAGCGAGAACAGAGAAGGGACCAGCATCTCCTGGAATTACTTCATCAGTGAGATGCTGTCAAAGGGGGAGGTCCAGAGGATCGAAGTGGTTCCAGAGAGCGACATTGTGGAGATCTACCTGCACCCGGGAGGCACTCCGCGTGGACAAGTGGTGAGTGACTTTCTGCCATTGCAATGGATGGTCGCAGGTTGTCTTAGATCTGAGGTGATCTGAGAGAAAAAGAACTGAATTAGTAAATGGTTATAAAAGTCTAGCAGGTAAATTTGCTCTTTCCTCACTTTTCCTCTTTCTTTTGTGTGAAGCTCAGGGGGTTCTGTTACTCCTACCAACCTGGAATTTAAACTGTAAGAGTAATTGACAGTGACCTGAAGGGAATGTTATGGATGTTTAAAAAGCTGGAGAAATTCCCCAGTTCTTTCTCACCAGCTCTGCCTGGTTCATCGAAAGGAGTCAAGGTCTTGTTCCTAGATCTAGTTTAATTTTTTTTTTCTCCTGTTTGGATTTTAGGTTTGGGTGCTTTGTCAAATCAAGAAGGAAGTGCAGACTTCCTTCTTAAATCTGCTAAAGTGGTGAAAAAGAGCAAAGCTTATTCACATCTTGTGTAACTTTGCAGGGCAGCCGCCAAGAATCAATACAAACTAACTTGAGAGATTCAAATATTGTTCCTTGGTTCACCTCGCGTAGCTCGGTGATTTTTATGATCCATTTGCAAGCTGCTGGATGAAATTAATTTCTGAGCGAGACATAGGAAGGAACAACATCCAAAATGCCTCCTTCTCAATGATGTAGTTTTCCAGATGTATTACGAATTTTTGGCTGGGCCCAAAGACAGCCCTGTAATTGGGTTTGGAATGCTAACTCCATCCTGCAGCTTGCCCACGAAGACACGATGTCCCCTTGTTCCTACAGAGCTGAGACTCAGGAAAGCACAGAAGGCAAGGTCTAAGGGGCTGCAGAGACTGGCCTTGTCCCCGACTTCCCTTGGAGTCCCTCTGTTTGTTATCTGCCCATTATTTCATTGGTGTGGCCAACGAAGGACGTAACGATGCTGACTGTCCTGCTCGGCCATGCTGTGCACCCCTTCTGCTGGTGGTTGCCCTTATAGCACGCTCACACTGTCCTCATGCTGCTTCTCCTTGCATGTCTCCAGAACGTTACCCTGCTGTACACCATGCGAGTGGCAAACATTGACAAGTTTGAAGAGAAGCTGCGAGCTGCGGAGGATGAGCTGAATATTGATGAGAGAGAGAGAATCCCTGTTTCCTACAAACACCCCGGCTTTTATGGAAAGTACGAGCTGATATCATGCTTACTGTTTATTTTATGCTGGCAACAACACTCCTCACTTGGAAAGTTCCTTCCAACTGAACGTTATGTAAATAGAAAGCAAAAGAAGTGGTCCCTGTTTGGAGCAGGTCTTTCAGAAGTGCTCTAGCTGTGCTGTAACGTTTCAGAACTGAGAGTCCCAAGGAGGTGTGTGGAACCACAGCGTGTAACAGACCAAAATGTTTCAGCTCAGCGTCAGCAGCTCTGAGGAAAGCCTGTCAGCTGCTTTGTATTCTTGCATAGCAGAGCACCTTTTTGTCTTTATAATCCGTTATTCGAGTGCAGTAATGGGTCCTGTGAGATAGGAATCCTGACTCAACCCGTGTGCTGTCGGACCCTGCTGAATGGTGGTGGTGCAGTCGGCCTTCCCCCATTTAAACGCCTTGAGGACGGCCTGCAGCCGTGGTTCAGTCTGCAAAAACAAACACCCAGTTTGGGCCTGTTCCCCAAATGGCCGTGGCTCAGAGGACAGCCTGTGCTGGTGCTGGCTCCTGCTGTGAGCAGCATACTGAGCAGAGCAGCTCTGCTGCTAAGACGCAAAATCTCAGTGAGAGAGAAGTACTTCTGTTAAACTTTCTGTTACCTGAACCCAAGATCTTCTGCTTTTAGAAACAATAGTAATTAAGAAGTCAGTGCTCAAATAAACAGCAAAGAGCAAGAGAGAAAGTCTGTCAAAAGACTGCCGTGCTCCAGCCAGGCTTCATCCTGTTCTTCCCTGTGATGTACAAGTGTGGCTGTTTGCTGCTGATGTGGTTTATTTATCCTCCTGTTAGGGCTGGCAGCTTGTTTTTACAAGGTAGGATTTATGGAGTCCAGGGCACAGGACTGATCTTTGGGGCTTGCTCACTGGGCTGTTGGACAGACCCACCTCCAGCACTGATGGCTGCTACTGCTGCAGAAAGATGCTTTCCATCAGCGTATGAGGCTGGTGTTTGGAGAGCTCTCAACTCATTGCTGAGTCTGAAGTACTGGAGATGCAGCACGGTAGTTCTGCTTGCCAAGTAGAGCTGTCCTATATCCTAACAACCAAGAAAGATAGTTTCATACTGCTGCAATTGTCTGCCAAGGTGGTCTGGTCACCTGCTTGCACCCCATGCAAAGATCTGCATCTTATGCTTACAGAAGCCCCAGGGGTTTGCAGTGTGGCATCATTCCCCTGATGGTGGGGAGGCGGCCTTTCCTTGCAGGTGCCTCACCAAAGTGTGAAATAAATGCCATGTTTGTCTATGAGGAAGATACCTGGAGAGCAGTTGGTCTAATTGCTTGTCCTCTGAGCAACATCTTTGCAATTTTAACGCATTACTTACATGGAGATAGGTAAACTTCTCAAATTGCTCCTGCAGGATGAAGTCTTCAGTTCATATCGAGGGCTTGCCAATTTTTGTCAGACTTTTAAGAAGAGTAAATTGGACTGTTGAAGTCAGCCAGCACCACCAGCTGCTTCCCTTGCTCCTGAAAAGAGTTCTTTAGAACACACAGCAGGGTCTGAATCCTCTCTGAGGAGACGTCAGAGTCAGGAGTTTAACCTGCGAGGCACTGTGTACTTATGGCTTGCATTCAGTTTACTTTCAGAGCTGGGCACTTGATGCATTTCAGAATTAATCCTCTGCTTGCACAGTTGACAAATTGGAGGTGGCTTTCAGCTTTCAGCGTTGCCTAGGAGCTCTCACTGAGAAGAAACAAATGCAGCTGGGGATAATATAGCATGTGCTGGTCCCCTTGTTTCAGTAAATCATTTATTTCAGAGGCATGGCACACATATTCCTAGTTCAAAGATAAGGAACTGAAGTGAGGTGAGGGCAGATCATTTCATGGGGTCAAGCAGGGCTCGTGCAGCAGAGCAGGGGGCTGAGGTAGGGCTTCTCAAGTCCCAGCCCGGCATCTGACATGTCAGATAATTTTTCCTCTTATTAAAAGTATCCTGAGTGTAGAGCTCAGGAAGTTCTGTCCTCAGCATGTTTGTCTCATAAGCGCATTAGGCTTGCACTGCCAGCTTGGCTCTGCCTCTCCCTTCTAATGCAATAGTTACTGCAAAGGATGCAGAAAATTCGTTATGTTGGTTGCTGGTCCTTCTGTCAGAAGGACTTGTGAGAGACTGGGCCAGGCTGGGCTGAGCAGGCTGCATAGCAGCTCCATCCTGGAGGCTTGCACTGGGATTTTGTGCCAGGAGTGGGCAGTTAGAAGCAGCTGATGTTTCTGGACACGGGGTGGGACTGCCAGCACCACCAGCCCTGCTCAGGATGTGATCTGGCTCCTGAAGGGCCTGCCTGTTTGATAAGCAAAATGCCTCTGAAGCAAGGGGTCAATGGGAATTGCTTCTGCAGCCATAGCAGCGTGGGTCAGTGCCTTCTGTGAAACTTCAGAAGCTTTGCAATGGTTGGGGCTTTGTTACACCTGTATAAATGGATGCTCGTGGTTGCGTTTCTAGCCTAAGGGTCAGGACCTTGTAAAACACTACAAACAGGAACACTGCGTCATATTTACTGAGCTGTGGCTGCATGCTGCAGTTTGTACCTGTCTCGCCTTTGTCCTTTCAGTGATGTCATTTCCCTGGTAGTGACACTTGTGGCTGTGTCCATGCTGTGGAGCCTCTTCCGCCTCATAAGGGTTGCGGGCCGGGCAGGAGGATTCAATGCTTTTGTGAGTATCCTGGCTCTTTCTGCTGCTTTGCATCCTGTGAGTATTGTTGTCCCCTGGCCTGACCTCCTCCCTTTTCCCCAGCAAAGTCAACACAGATTGAGAGTTAACTGATGCCAGGGACGCTTCAGTCTTGATACATGTCGTGTCTTTTCCTGTCCTGATCGTCAGACCAGATCGTACAGTAACTGGCCTTAGTGGAGGCCCTTTCTTTCCCCAATGGCAGGAAGGGCTGAGCTCAGTGAATTTGCAGTCCAGTTTGCTCTGCTATTTTCAAAGCTCGTTAATGAGTTGCAGCTGCAGATGGTGTTTTTCACTGGGTCCTGCCAATATGCCTCCCATACAGCCAGGAGTAGGGATTGCTGCTTTTTGCAAAATGAATTCTCAATTTATAAAGTATGTTCAGATTCTGGATTTCATTATGTGTTGGCCTGTTCCCCTCACGCCACATGGCTCACTTGCAACATCAGTTAAATCTCCTCCTACCCTCCTCCCTTGCCCGGATCAGCTGATGAAACTGTGTAGAAATCAGCCCTGGGTGTGCTGGTATCGACCGCAGGGGCTTGGGGCTGAAAATAGTGGTGTATTCAGTCCCTTGCTGGATTTCCCACTTGGTATCCTCTGAAGTTCTCTTCTGGCTTTGAGATTCTCTTTGTACAAAGGGGTACAGCTGCTTGGAAGAGAATAGTTTAAAGAAATGCTGAGTAATGAGGGCCTTGAGGATTCATTTCTGCCCTTGGGTAAGTGGGGCAGCAAGGCCCTGCATGTTTAACTCTTCATTTGGATAAACATGTTTCTAAGGCATGAGAAGCTGTAAACCTTCTCAAAGCAAACAAAAAGTCCTGAGTAACTGTTTTCAGCAGGACATAATGAGCAGTTACTAGCAGAGTGTTGAACTGAACTCTTGTTTTGGCTGTCGCTGTGGCTTAACACACACCAGGAGGCTGAGATGTGCTGCCTGTTCAATTGGAGAGCCTGCAGTTCTGTCCCTGGTGTTGCAGGAGGAACTGACTGGACACTGGTGCAAAATGCCTGTTTGCACACGTTTGCAGGGCAGTGTTGGTATTTATTTACTTCTGATGCATACTCCTTAAAACTGTACCTGCTGGATGTGTTAAGGACCAGAGCATTTAAGAGTCTGGGGGAGAGGATATTAACTCAGGTTTGGGGCATTCTGCGTGTTTTTATTAAGTTTTTCTACTCGGTCTGTGGGAAGTTGAGCTGGGTTGTGTTGAAGTACTACTGCAGGTTTACTTTTCTTCTCATCAAATATTGATCAGTAAAGCTCAAGTCAGCAGTCTGCAGTCTGGCCTGAAGTGTTTCCAGAGCAGAACTAACTACCAGCAGTGCATTGGTGGGCGTTGTAATGGTCTTTGTTAGGGGCAGCTGTACCTGTGCTGTCGCTTGCAGTATAGCAAGCAGGCTGTCCAGTGAGCATCTTCAGTTCTTGTGCTGCTTTCCACAGAATCAGCTGAAAATGGCTCGTTTCACCATTGTGGATGGAAAATCCGGGAAAGGGATTGGCTTCAAGGATGTAGCAGGAATGCACGAGGCAAAAATGGAAGTCAAAGAATTTGTGGACTACTTGAAGGTATAACAAAGCAAGCAGTGCCTGTTTTCTGGGATAGAAGGTTAACCTGGGGAGGAGAGAATATTCATTCTATCATTCATTTTATCACGCGTGATACCGAGCAGCCTTTGTTTAAAAAAAGCTGGAAGCTTTTTTCTGCTGTGATCAACGTGACTCAGTCTCTACTTCCAGTTCTGTAACAGGCTGCAGATGTGGCTGCTCCTATTACGAGCTCAGGGTCGGTCAGGATGAAAACAATGTCAAGAAGTACTGGAAAACCACGTTCTTGAGCAGTTGTGTGATGTGAGCTGAGGATCTGACACAGCTGTGTTGTTCCTACAGAATCCTGATCGCTACCTGCAGCTCGGTGCCAAAGTGCCCAAGGGTGCCTTGTTGCTTGGACCTCCAGGCTGTGGGAAGACGTTGTTGGCCAAGGCAGTGGCCACAGAAGCACAGGTGCCTTTCTTGGCCATGGCAGGCTCCGAATTTGTGGAGGTGATAGGAGGTAAGCTTTGCAGGAGGGAGGGGATGGAGGTTGTTTGGAAAATGCTGTCTGGATCCCTCAAAAAGGAGAGTTTCCTCCATTCTTTGCATGAGGAGAATGAGTTGGGTATTTCTGCTGAAAACATACAGGTTTTCAGTGATAGCAGATAGTTAATTATGTAGTCCTGAAACATGTTTTCTCTGACTTGCTAGTTGCTTCCTTCTCACAGAGGGAAACCACAGGTCTCCACTTGAAATCCTGACTTGCCTCTACTCCATGTTGAGCAGGATCTGAGGAGCTGAAGATAGGAGTTCTGGGGCTGGTTCTTTGTGTCTGGCACGTTGAAGGGGTCATACAGTGAGGGTTTGGTCAGGATTGGGTGCCTTTTTGGATCCGTGATTCCTGCTCTCCAGCTAACAGTTTTAGCTGGTTTGGAGCTGATTTCTTCTCTTTTTGTGTAGGTCTGGGAGCTGCACGAGTCCGCAGCCTGTTCAGAGAAGCGCAGGCTCGTGCACCCTGCATTGTGTACATCGATGAAATTGATGCTGTGGGCAAGAAGCGCTCGACTAATGTGTCTGGTTTCGCCAATGCTGAGGAGGAGCAGACCTTAAATCAGCTGCTGGTGGAAATGGATGGTCAGTATTTCTTCCTTGGCATTTGAGCCTTTGTTACCTTGAAGATCCGGGCACGTTGTTCTGTTTGAATTTGCCATGCCTCCTTAGTGTTCTCAAAGTATTCAGCGTTGCATTCCCTGGAGCAAGGCTTGCTTGTACTTCACAGCACATTCAGTCCGTAAGCTCGGCACTACAGCTTGCTCATGTTTGTGTTCAAAGACCTCTGTGTTGGGGACCCCTTTTGGGAAGGGCTGTGGCCCTGAAGGCCAGGTGAATTTACATCTAGCAAACTTCAAAACCCTGGAACCTTGAATGAGCTATTTTTGTGACTGCACTCCTACAGAGTCAGAAGAGAATGTACTGTCACATTCAGAGTGAATTCGCCCCAGCAACCACACGAGTGTCCACCTGCTAATAAAACTGATGGAAAACAGGCACTAGATATCAAGGCTGGCAGAGGGCAGCAACCCCAAGGATTCATACTGCAGTGAATGGCTTCAGTTCAGGGGTGTTTTCCCACTGTCAGGTGGAGAGGAGTTGTTTGCAGTACTGAGCAACAGGAAGAGAAAGAATTGGCAGCAAGGGCAGTAGTGTCTTCAGCTGGTAATGTTTAGTTCCAGCTGGCCATTAAAAGCTGTCGAATCCCTGCTTACTCTGTCTGACAGGTAGTGTTTTAAAGCCTGACAAGGGCTGAAGTCTAGTTGTTCCAGAGGAGTTCATGCAATGAAATGCATCCATTCTCCTTTCTTTGGCCTGTTCTCATGTTGCTTGGCTGCAGGATGCCTATCTAAGGTGGGAGGGAGAAGCTTTGCACACAACTCCTGGTTAGGTGCTGCTCTTCTGGATGCTTTCTGAATGTATTGCATATGGAATCAACCCTTTCTCAGACACGAATGTCAAAAAGAACAATTCTTTGTCTGTTCTTAGTCATAACTCTGTCAGAGCCTGCAGCCCTAATTCTCATTGCTTTTGTGGCTAAATCCTACAATTGCAGATCAGCATGTGTTTATATCTGTCTGCTGCTTTGTGGGACAGGCCTGTTTTCCCTTGGCTGACCGTAAATGTGGCACTTACCCCATCAGTCTCTTCACAAGAGAAGTTCTGCACTGAAACCATCCCTCTTTCTCCAGACATGTATGTGTTTTTTACTGAGTTTTTACAGCGAAGCAGTGGGTGCAGCCCTGCTGAAGCAGAGCACATCCTGTGGTTCTGCAGCGAGGTTGCTATGGAGTGAACCTTCCACTCTCAGGGAGGAAGCTAGGATCTGTAAAGTGCTTTCAGGAAAGCATCAATGTTCCTCTGTACTGAGGGTGATCTGTAATGCTGGATCTCTGCCTGCGCTGCAGAAGGAGAAGAAATTGTAAGCAGGAGCACAGCGCTGAGCAAACAGGATAGAGGTGCTGCTGTACTGAGATCCTGCAGGACTCTGCCTCAGCCCAAGTGCCAGGGAGCTTCTGGAAGGAGCGCTGCGATCTGTAAGCAGGTCCTACATAACCAGGCACAGATCTGGTTATCAGAGGAGCATCCGTGAAGCGTGTGATGCTGTGTAGGACCTGATGTGGTATAAACACGTGTGCAGCTTCCTGGGACTTTGCACATGCTCTAATTTGGGCACTGTAGCCAAGCATATGAACATATTTGGAGTGAGTGTAACTGCTTACAGCTGTGTCTGTATAGCATTGTCTCAATGGAAAGGCCTGTAGTAACACACAGAACAGCAATCCCAGCTTGCTTTTGGTTTTTTTTTCCCTCTTGACAGTTGCAGGGTGAAGTGGCAACAGGTTACCACTGAATCAGATGGAGGCCCATCTGTGTGTTCAGGAAAGCGTGGTCAGTACACATCTCAGTGTTAGAAATGGAAGTGCCTGACTTCCTGTGATCTGCAGAAATCAGGAGCTGTTCCTAGAATGTTGCTTTGTGGCGAGTTTCAATTAAAAAATCAGGGCACAAGTCATTGAAAAGTGAGGTTAGAAAGTAAGTATTATCCTTTAATGCTTTAAGAGTCCTTGAGGAAAAAACAGCTTCTGTACAGTGTGCTGCCTAGCTGATTCTAAAATGGGTATTGCTTCATGATTATCAATTTGTATCATACAGGTCGTGTACTGATCCCTCACTTGCTGAATGCTTTATCAAACATTAAAAAAAATAGCCTAAGGAGTTTACAGTGCCAGATGAGAGGCAGCTGGCAAAGGCTGTCAGGGCAGTGCAAGCATCGTGGGCTTACTGTTGGCTTGTATGCATAAGCAGTGATCTTGGCTTGTGTTATTGAACTGCTGTCTAATTGTGCATGTTACCTCGGGGAGGTGCCTCTTGTTGCCTCTATGTCCATCATTACGAAACAAAGCTTTCGGGAGGAAAGTGAATTTTAAGGAGATGGAGAGTTTACCCAGGCAGAAGTGGAGGGTTTGTGTGTGATGAGAGCCCTGAAATGGGAGGTCACAGTTCTCTTGTCGCCGTCTTGAGCTTAATTTAAAGGTTGAACTTGTGCGAGGTAACACCGCAGAGCTGAGCTGATAATTCGAGAAAAATCAAGTGCAGAAGTAGATCTGTGAATCATCAGTTTAGCAGTGATTGTGGGGTTTGTGTGTGCGAATGAGATGACTTGGAGCTGAGGTACAGGAAGAGAAGGAGGGGCAGAGCCAAGGGGAACCCCTGCTGCAGGCTGGAGGGACGGTGAGGGCAGCAGGCGAAAAGTCACTGTAGGAAGCTGTAGGGGTGAGATGTGGAGTCGGATGCTCTGTAATTCTGGTATGCAGATTTTAGAGTAATTGTGCTCTTTCTATAAGCGACCTCGGTTCGCCTCCTTCTGACAGCTTGCTTCGTGTTCTGGAGGCGTCAGAGTTCGGTGGGAGAAGGGGAGGGACTGGGCTGAGCTGTACAAAAGCTGACTTTAAAAACCAGAGCGACTCGTACTCCAGCCTTTGTCAGAACAGGTGCCTGTGCTGAATAGTGAATCTTCCCTCACAAATCGCAAACAAGCGGAAGAGGAATGTGACCCAAATACCTCCCCTGCTCTGAATGCGTTTGCTGGGAGCTTGTCAGTCCTGGGCTGATCTGCTCTTTTGTGAATAAAGATGCGAGCCAGTCCTGTGAAGTCCTCAGACCTCTCCCCTTGTCTGTGCTGGGTGCAGGTTTGTGACCCTGTGGCTTCCCTCACAATGGTGGCCCCTTTTTCAATGGTATTGTACACAAACGATGCCCGAAATGCTTTTGAATGAATGGCCAACAATGCAGAGGAGCTGCCTATCAAATGCGCTGTGTCAGTGGGCAGGAGGGCACTCAGCAATTCAACCGGACCCTCCCCAGTTCCTTTTAGAAGTGCCTGAAGTTGTGAACATAGATGTGAAGGCTCTCTTGGGCCAAATTTTCAGAGCTGTTTTTAATTTGTTGACGTGGCTGAGGTGGTGTTTTTGTAGCCTGTTCTCATGACTGCTCGTTGTCTGTGGAAGCCAGCGCCCGTCACGTGCCAGGTGACATCGTGCTGGGAAGCGTGATGTGACTCAGGCTGCTGCTGTGGATTTCTTGGAGCTGTTGGGCGCTGCTGGGAAGCAAGTGGGGCAGGAGCTGCAGCGAGGAGGATGCACTCCGTGGTTCTGTTTTGATTATGCTTGTTCTAATAGTCAGACCTATTTTAAGGTCGAGCTTTCCCAGCTGCAAAGCTGATAATGTACTGTACCATCTAATCCTGCCGTGTGAATGAAGCTTGCTACCACCCAGGTGCCTGCCAGTCTCTCTCCTTGTTTATCACACTCCAGAGCACAGTATAATACACACCTGAAGAACGGTCAGCTTCATCCTCTGCAGGAGCTTATTTAGACAGCGTCCTGCAGGGAGGAACAACAGAGGTTTGCTGCAGTGCGAGCTGACAAAGCCAGTCCTCTGACTTACCTGTAACCTTAATCTCTCTGCTGAGCTCTTGTACGCTGACACATTTGGCAGCTCTTCCGGCCAAGCTGGAGAGAGCTGAAACCCACCCAGCTTACGTGCATGGAGCTGCTTTCTGCAGTGTGTGACTTGGCAGCCAGGGAGCACACGGGACGAAGGCGTCCTTTCCCTGGGAAGGCTGTGAGTGCTGGGGCTGCTGAATCTGCTGGAAGCAGGTGACTCATAGCCAGAGGCCTCCGGGCACCTGGTGGAATGTAATAAATAAGCAGTGTGGTTCAGTGATTCAACATCATCCCTGGCTCCCCACCCAAGCAACACAACCGCTTGCCCCTTCCTGCCCTCCTCCAGCTGTTTGTGCTCTGCCTTCCCAGGAAAGCCTGTCTGCCTTTGGTGCCTCTGTACTGCTGGCTGCTCTCACAGAGCCTGTAATTCCTGATGCTCCCTTCATCTTGAAGACCTGGAGACAAAACCGTGTGACTGTGGCTTGAGCTAGTTTGTGCTGATCATCACTGCAAAGCTGTTTGGTCACATTCTGTCCCTGCCTACATGATCTCTGTGGTGTACGTTTTGCAGGGTTGGTCTTTGCACTGCTCTGGCCCTCAGTGTGCCTGGATGCCTCTTGAGTGATAAAAGATGCAGATCAAATCATGCTGTGATTGAGTGGCGAGGCTACGTCCTGTATTCTTGTGTTAATCCCATTCGGTCAGAAGAAAACCTATTCCTTCCCTGGTGATGCTGGTAGCCTGTCTGTGATTGAAGGCTGAAAGTGAATGAAAACTGAAAGGGTTTTCCACAGCAGTGCTGGGGAGGAAAATGCTATTTCAGCTAACAAATATTGTACAGCTGGAACTAAAGGAGCAGGAATTGGCTTACGGCTGGGGATGAGCAGGCGTGTCCGAACTCATAAGAACAGATTCTGTTCCGGTTTCCGGTTGGAGCAATTTCAAAATACGGCAAAAGAAAACCCAACAAAACAAAGTTGGGGCTTAAAGGGAATTCCAGTATGCCCACGGTGGCTGGGGTGAGCCGAGAGGTTCCTTCCTGCTCCTAGCTGAAGAGGACGCTTTCTCAGCCTCAGCTGCCCCAAAGGATGTTGTACATGCGTTCTGCCTTTGTGATAAAGCTGTGTGAGAGGTTCTCTGCATCCTGCCCTCCCTCACCCCTTGCTGTGCTCGCAAGGAAGTCTCTGTGATGGTGAAAACCTTCACTTGTGTTTTCACTTGTCTTGCTACAGGAATGGGGACCACAGATCACGTCATAGTGCTGGCTTCCACCAACCGTGCTGATGTTTTGGATAATGCCTTGATGAGACCTGGCAGGCTTGACAGACACATCTTCATTGATCTTCCAACACTCCAGGTATATTCCATCATCTGTCCTGTCCTTTCTACAGTGTTCATGGCTGAAGTGTCCCAGTCCTTCCCTTGCCGATCGTTCATTGGCCTGGCAACCACTGAGTTTGGGGCAGATGGAGATGGCATATGAACCTCAGCAGCAAATTCTTCTGTGAGGTTCTCTGCCATGCAGATGCAGAATTTGTTGTCTTCTCTCCAGGAAATCAGGAGCCACCTAATTGGCAAAGCTGGCTTGTGTGGGGAAAACTCAACTTGTCGTGTGCCTTGAGCACCGTTTGTCTTGTAGGTTTATCATCCTCACTTTCCTCATCAAGCTCCTCATTTTCTTCCAGGCAGCCTAAGTGACTTTCCTTCTGAATGCTTTTGTAAATCCATTTATTAGAGGAGTCTGTCATGTCCCCTGTGTTGACGTTTGTAGTGGAGCTTTGCAAATAGGCTCAGCTGCAGTGAAGGTCTGCCTGCTCTGCCAGCACAGTCTCTTCTTCTCCCATCTGTGCTTTACTGTCATCCTCAGAGTTTTCAGTTAAAATACCTCAAATGCCTGATACAATCTGGCACCGGAAGCATGAACTCTGCAGCTGCCCTGAAGGAGGAAAGGGAAAAACCCTGGCAACTGAGCCCATTGTTTTAATCAGGATCTCCTGGGCCAGCTGAATGAGTCATTGCTTGGCCGCTGGCCAGCCGTCAGCTCACCCCCACCTCTGTCTGGGAAGTGGTCGAAGGCTGAGCAGCTCGTAGATGGGATTCTTCTTTCTTGCAGTGCAGGAGGGAGCAGGTAGCTGCATCCTGAGCTCCTTCCTGCAAGTGCTTATATGGTAAGAGCAAAGTTAAAAGACAGATCAGAGTGAAAGTTAGAAGGGGAGAGCGGCCCTGAGAGAGAAAGCAGTGACTCACGGTAAGCCTCCGTACATCTGTTCTGAATTTGAGAGCTGGGTGTTTATCAGGGCTCCTGTAGGACTGAAGTGCTGTAAGGACAGCCCTGCCCTCTGCTGGCAGTGTCACCGTCCCTGCTGCCAGAGGTCTGGCTCTTCCTCTGCTCCCTGCCTTAGGGAGCATTGAAGCTGCCATGTTAGGAAGCTTGCTGGCTCAAACGTTCACTGTTGTGTAAGTGCTCTGTGCTCTTCGCAGGAGAGAAGAGAGATCTTTGAGCAGCACCTGAAGGGTCTCAAGCTGATCCAAGATGCCAGCTTCTACTCGCAGCACCTTGCTGAGCTGACTCCAGGCTTCAGTGGTATGACACCTTGTATCCTTGAGGGACTGTTCTGCCTCTGCCTTGCAAATTCAGCTACGTGAAGCTCCTCAGTAGCTTGGGTTTAGGAGGGTATTTTGGTCTCAAGGGTTTTTTTTTTGTTTGTTTGTTTTTCTTCTTTCCCTTAAAATCCTCCTCTCTGCTTAAACAGGGAGAGCCTAATCAGCTCCCTCGTGAAAGGAGCTGCAATGAGCAATTGTTTCTGGCTATTTTCAGTGTCCTGCAATTTCTGGGAATAGCAAGGTGCAGAGGCTGGAGAAAAACAGGCTATTACAAGTGCCTGGGATCCTAATTCCTGTTAATGCTCTTCTCCAAGCTGTTGTTGAAGATAAGGCGTTGTACTTCACACTGAGATGTGGAAAAACACCTGTGTTGGTAGGCATTACCAGGAAAGCAGACAGGAGAAAGGAGCAGCAGTTCCTTCATCTGTTGGAGTAGAAATTGGATGACTCTTGAGCCTGCTTCCAGGGTCAGTCCCTGGGAGTTTTAAACATTGCTGAGCAAGGGGCTCCAGAGTTCCTGTTTATGTGGAGTTCCTGGAATATCCTTTCTGGGTTTCCCCTCTAACAGGCCCCAGCACACTGCCTCTTCGTGACTTCTTTCAGCAGCCCCCCACCACCATCACCCACACACACAAACTCAGAACAGATGTTCTTTCTCTTCTGCACAGAGGTTTGTGTGGTTGCTGCATGAACAGTGCAGCAATCCATGCCAATCCAGGCTGCCCACAGCACTCCCCTGTTGTTAGAGCCAGCCTTGGCTTTAGCCTCTTAATTGATTGCTGAACTCTGTCCTCTGTATGGCAACACCGTGCTCATTGCCAAGGCAGTGGTATTGTTCACATCCAACGTAAACACCATGGCTGAGATTCACTCTCTGTTCCCAAGGAACAAAGAGGAGCTTGCAGCGCAGGCTGTGTGACTTCCTTAGGCCCTCCTCCAGATCTGTTCTGCCTTATCTGTCTGTCATACACCAAACCCGATGTAATTCTTACGCACTCTTGCCAACAGGAGCAGACATAGCAAATATATGCAATGAAGCTGCTCTCCACGCTGCCAGAGAAGGTCACAAATCCATTGATACTTCCAACTTTGAGTATGCTGTGGAAAGAGTCATTGCAGGTAAGCTCCTGTTACCTCACTGATGTGTGCTGCATGCCATGGGAGAAGGCCCAGGTGACTGGGTTGTGTTCCAGGGCAACAGCTAGGATCTCTCTGTGCTCTTTCTTGTCTGGAAGATCTTGAATGCAATAATCACAAATGAACCAGCCTTTCTGAATCTGTAGGCAACCTGAACCAGCAGCTCAGGAAAGATATTCAGTAGCAAAGCATATACACAGAAAGAGAGGGGGAAGATTCAAAGCTGTATTTGTTTTTGAGCTGTTGGACTTGATGATCTTGAAGGTCTTTTTTAACCTGAACGATTCTGATTCTATGGAATATATGGCTTTTTAATTAAATGTTATATATATACATAAACATTTTAGGGAATCTTAAATAAAATAGTGGAAGTATCTCTGGGGTTTTGTTCTTGCTCTGGACACCTGCTACATAAACATGAATAGCAAAGCAAATAGGCTATCCTGCCCCAGCCTCAACAGCAACAGGAAGAAATGAGAGATTTTTCTTCTTGGCCTCGAAGCCCAGACTTTGATGAATTGGCAGAATAAACTGAAAGACAGTGGAGCACTGTTCTCTCTCTGAGAACATCCTGTCAGCCTTCCCCTGTTGCTTGTGCAAGTGCCAGCAGAGAGGAACCTCTGGAGCCTGCCGTGGGGCAATATATTATAGGGAGGGGGAGGGAGAGTTCCCAGAAGGCTCGACCTCACCTGAGGGGTTTGAATCCGGTGCATTTCTGTCTGCACTTTCCTGCAGGCAATCCCTGACTTTCATGGTCAGACATTTAGCTGCTTCCAGCCTGCGGTGTCATCACTGGGGCTGAGTCTGGGCAAACAGCCTGGTGTTCTGTAGGAAAAAGGGTGTTCCTTCAGGGTCAGGTGTTCCCTGGCACAGCGATCGAATTCTCACCGTTTGCTTTTTATCAGAAAACGCCCAAATGTGTCCTTGTTTAAGAGAAGGTGTTTGAGATCTCCTCTGTTTTGCCTGTCTCTTACAAACGTAATCCTGGGAGTGCTTTGGGGGACAGAACACACTTCCACGAAGCCCAGGCTGCGTGCAGCACCTCCCAGGAGTGGGCAGTGAGACAGCTCTCAGTGCAGAACAGAAACCCTAATAGCTATCACATAGATGTGCTTTATTTTTCCATCTGCAAGAGAGAGTACTGAACTTGCAGGGATTGCCTTGACTTTTCTTTCTGAATTCTGCCTTTTCCTTAGTTCCCCAGGCATGGAGGACAGGGCAAAAAGCAAGCAAGACCGCAGGGGATGTGCAGCAGAGGGAATATCTGGGATTTATGTGGTGGCCATGAGAGGGCATGGGCTTCAGCAGCTTCACTGCTGACAAGCTGCCTTGCTTCACTGAGGCTCTGTGACATTTGGGAAGCGATATCATCTATTTGTTGCTTAATCTGATCTTTTCATATTAGCAAGACCTGGCTATTTTTTTTGCAGAACAAGTCTAAAAGGCCCTGAACAGCCCTCCAGGCCCTTATATTAAGTGTGCCCTTGCCACGTAGTGGGAATGCTTCTGGGTTTCACAATCCAGTTCAATATTTCAGTCGCTATAAAAGCTTTTCTTGAAGGAAACAAGATATTACTGTGCTTTCCATTATAAGCTTCTGGTTTTAATAAGGATGATGTGGAATCAAAAGAGAACTTTGCAAGTCCTGAGGCCCTGTCAGCCTTAAAGCTTTGTGTTGCTGTGAGGGAGGAACATGAACTCTTCGCTGTGGTAGTCCCCATTGTGTTTTCAGTTTGGGAACAGAAAGCAGTCAGTAAGTCAGGTCTCCTGGGAGTGCTGGAGGAAACCTGCTGAGCACACAGAAGCATTCAGGGCTTGTCCTGGGAAGACGGAGCAGAGCCTGTGCCCTGGTGGGGTTTGTGCACACAGCGTAAGACCAGCAAAGCCAGCCCAGGGTTTTTTCCTGTGGTGTTTGTCCCATAAAGGTGGTAAGTCTGGGCCTTTAGAGGGCTCCCCAGCCTGGAGCTTACTTCGTTTGGGGGCAGCAGCAATCTTCACGCTTTGTGCTGTTGTGAAGAGACCACAGTCCTTCGCTTCTCGATGGGCTGACAGGGATGCTACCAGAGTTCAAAAAGTCATAAAGCTGTATACAGCATATCCATACATCTCTCTGTAGAAGGGTGTGTGCAGGGACATGCCACGTGCTGCTGAAGGCAGAGTAAGGAGCTGACTAATGAAAATCAGGGCTGCTGCGATTCATCTGCGATTCCATCGCTGTCAGCCTCCCGGGGCACAGTGGTTTCCAGGGTCCTTAAGCAGTGCTTCTGCAAGATCTGCCGTGCTCCTTTTGCTGCTTCCTTGTTTAATAAAGCTCTTGACTTTGTTTAAAAATTAATGTTTAATAGAGTGCTGTTTTCCAAGGCATGAAGAGCCTTGGTACCAAGCCGCCCTCAGCTCTGCCTGCTCTCTGCCCTGCTGCTCCTGGCACAGTGCAGGCATCCACTTACAAGTACTGGGACCTACTTGCATCTGATGCACAGAGCTATAATGACTGCTGGATTCACAGTGTACTCTGGAACTAACGTGTTCTGTACGTGCTGGAAGCTTTACTTCCATTCAGCATGTTTTGGAATCCTAATTGGACTTACTGTGCGTTACGGGCTACTGGGTTGGAAAATAGACACTTTCAAAAATCACCTTTCTGGAGAAAGTATTAAGTGTGAGTTATGGCTTAATTTGGTAGTTCTCAGGAGCCTGGGAATGAGCTCGTGTGGAGCATGCTATCTGTAATCAGAGATTTCTTGGCTTTGGAGGAAGTTGGGTTTTTTTGTAGATACTCGTGTTTTTTTTGCTGACTTGAGCACTCAGTCTCATCTGGGACCTTTCTTATATATATAATTCAAAATCTTTCTTCTTTCCTGTCCCTAGGGCCTGAAATACAGCAAAATCACTATGATACTTCAGCTAGTCCTGTTGTTCTTTTTCCTTTTTTTTTGGTAGTGTTTTTTTTTTGGGGGGGGGGGTGGATATTCCCACCCTCCCAGTGGTAGACTGACTTTGCAGATATGTCCCTCAGCAGGAATACAGTGTAACGAGCCTCTGGCAGAGCCCTGGGCAGAACTGGGCTTTGCATTCTAGAGCTGTGATTCGACTGAGAGTTTTAAATTATTTGTGTAATGATTAAGTGTGTTCTGAGAAGACCGACAGCGCTGGCTTGTGCACCAAGCTGAACAGGTTGTGTCCTGCTGCTTACACCCATTGCCCGCTGCTGTCTCATCTGACCCTTGCCTGTGCTCTGATAGGCACTGCCAAAAGGAATAAAATCCTGTCACCTGAAGAGAGGAAGGTGGTGGCGTTTCACGAGTCGGGCCACGCGTTGGTCGGCTGGCTGCTGGAGCACACGGAGGCAGTGATGAAGGTAACCCTGGCACCAGCTGCTGTGTCACGATGTGTGTGGTTGGGTGGGAAGAGGATTTTTTGGGCTGCTGCTGCCCAAGGTGTGCTGATTATTTTATAGCGCTTGTGTTTAATTCTGCTGTGCTGCTCTGGCCATCTTCATGAACTTGGGGCTGCGAATACTGCTGCAATCCGTGCTGCAAATACGCCGTCAAGAGAAACGGGTTGATAGCGGTGGTGCAAGGCTGATTAATCAGCCACGGGGGAACTCTGGCATTTAAAAGCTGACTGTGAAGCGCTCCCAGTGTTTGCTGGTTACCCAGTTGCTGGGCACATCTGAAGCAACTGAATCTTCTGGTGCTGCTGCTCAGTTCATGCACTTGCTCCAAGCACAAAGCGCTGCTCTGTGTGCGTGCGTGATCTCCTTCCCTGCTGCGGTTTGCCAGCATGTTGCAGCTACCAGTCAGGCCGTTGGAGAAACTGCTCTGATACTAATCGAAAGAGATGTGTTGTTCAGATTGGCTCGCTGAAGAGTTGGTCTGCCTGAAGCCCTTCTCTGCAGGAAAGGCCCCCCTTTGGCACCCCGGGGTGTGTTCTGTCCCATGCACGTCTCCTCAAAGAGCCCTGACACAGGGGAGAGGTGGAGGGTGGAAATGACAAGAATGACAGCTTCTTGGCCCACCACCAGCAGCAAATTCACTCTGAATGACCTATTGTATAAGCTGAACTGTTGTTAATTGCTCTCCAACAAAATGTGGCTGCGTTTAATGGATGAGGGAATCGGGTCGTATTTTTCTGAAGGCATCCAGTGTGTTTGTTAGGTAGTCCCCATAATTTTGGAACATGTTTAGCAAACTCCCGTTGCTTACATCCTTCAAAGCCACTCTTAAGTCTCAAGATTTTACTGGCTTGCTGTTCAGGGTAACTTTTTATTTCTTGTTCTAAAAGTGAGGAAAGCTACTCCACATCTGTGAAGGCAGAGCCTTCAGTATGGGAATGGCAACTGCAGTTCATGCCTGTGTAGGTTAGTGAGCAAGCCCCACTGCTTTTAACAAACATCCCTGGGAGGGCAGACCTCGTTGTGTTTGCTGCTACTGTTGTTGAGAGCTCTTTTGTTCTCCAAACCAATGGAGCTGCTCTGTTTTGCAGGTTTCCATTGCCCCTCGGACAAATGCAGCACTTGGATTTGCTCAGATCCTTCCAAGAGAGCAGTACCTCTTCACCAGGGAGCAGCTGCTAGAGAGGATGTGTATGGCGCTGGGAGGGAGAGTGTCTGAAGCCATCACCTTTAACAAAGTCACCACAGGTGAGGGGACGGACCCTGACACGAGCAAGGGGAGGTCGTGCCAAGAGTCTGAACTTTGTACTTGTTGCTCTACCCAAGAGTAATGTGAAGCAGAGGTTCCCACCCTTGGGAATGGGAAGGAGAAATTTCAGAGTGCTTATTTTGATCTTGGACTTGGGTTTGTGAGTGTGAAGGCCTCTCATTGTGGGTTCCAACTGTGTAGTCTCAGACTTGTCCCAGAGTCTAAGGCTACAGATGCAATTACATAGCAAGACTCTTGGCTGATGGAAGAGCCTGGAGCTTTCTGTGCCTTAGTTCCAGCCATTTATAGCTACGTGGGATAAGAGCAAAGCAGTGGCAGGGAAGCAGCCCATATGAGCTAGCTACCAGAATGTGCCTCGTTGCCCTGCGCAGCTCTGGCAGTGCACACAGTGAGGCAACGCGTTCACTGCCTGGATTCCTGCAGGTCCTCTGATCCCTTGACTGGTGGAATGTGTGTTTGTGCTGGACGTCCTCCTCTTGCTCTCATCTCAGACTGCTGTCTGTCTGTCTCACCCAGGAGCACAGGATGACCTGAAGAGGGTGACCAAGATAGCCTACTCCATGGTGAGGCAGTATGGGATGGTGCCCAGCATCGGGCAGATCTCCTTTCCGGATGGGGAGAGCACAGTTGGAATTGGCCGGCGCCCCTTCAGCCAGGGCCTTCAGCAGATGATGGACCACGTAGGGCTGCTCACCTCTTCCTCTTTGTTCTTCACTTTCTGTCGCTCACTGGAAATTGCATAAATTTGTACCTGAATGCTTTGCTTTTTTTTTTTTTTCATTTAGCCATTAAGTGGTAAAATTCAACAGCTGAGCACTAAGATAGCCTGGTACTGTTGTGTGTGCAAGGACTGTTCAGTGAGGCATTAAGAGCAGAGTCACATACAGCTGTGAGTCCAGCCCAGCAGCACTGCGCTGCCTGGAGCTGCAGTGAGTGGTTGTGAAATACAGTCTGTTCTGTGCATTGCAGTGTGAAAACTGCAGTCCTGGTTCTTTTGTTGACAAGACTCTGGAGAGCTTCTAGGAGGTGGGAGGTACAAATGTGACTTTTGGAGAGGGGGAGAAGTGCTTTGTATAACTTGAACTTGAAGGAGATGGAGCTGAGGGGGGAGCATAGTTATGGAACTGAGGGCAGACAATCGGGGAGGGAGAGGTGCTGCTGTGTGAAGGTCTCTCCTCCTTGTTTGTCCACTTGCAGTACAAATCTCTCTTCTTATTATCTTCTAGGAAGCAAAAGTGCTGGTGGCTCAGGCCTACAGACGCACAGAAAAACTCCTATTGGACAACCGAGATAAGCTGCAAACAGTAAGTTGGAGTCATGTGGAGTTCCTTTAACTGCTGGGTTTGGCCTTGATACTTTCTGTGCTCTTGGTTGTTGCAGTGTCTCTGTGGTCCTAAAATGCCTTGTAATGGGGTTTCTGGGGTTTGTGTTGGGACTGCTGAATTGGTAGGCAGGTGCTGGCTGATTCTGTCTGCGTACCTCCGGGCAATTTTCACCTGCTATCTCCTTGATACCCAATATATCAAGGAGGCCTTATTGCAGAAGTAAGCTTTGTCTCCTCTGCTTTGTGTCTGGACAGTCTCCTAGCCAGTCAGTTCTCTTTCAGGATCTCTTCTTAAGAGACAACAGAAGCACAGCCACCTCCATATACCCACCAGCAGGCCTCCTTATGCATAATAAGGTGGCCAGAACTTGCTTGCTTCGGCACCCTGCTGTTGCCCATATCACAGTTCTGTCCCCAGGGCAGTGCCCCAGCAGCGCTCTGAAGGCAGGCTTTGTTGGGGGCTCTCCTCTCTGCTGGCCTCCTCTGTTCTGATGCTTTCATTTAACAACAATCAGATGTTTGCTAGAGGCTCATCACGGGAAAAACTTTTAAGTTAAGCCAAAATATCTACAGAGCATTGCATTTGCCAGGTCAGTGTGTCACATCTTGTCAGCAGAATTGAGCAGTTCCATGTTGGAGGGCCACCTGCTGCTCAAGCGTGGTCCTTCTACTGGCAGAGGGACCAGGGAATTTAACTTTCTGGGGAGGACCTTCTAATGACCTTCAGCCCATGCCTGCAGGAACAAAACAGCTCTCTGTTATCTCTGTGTCATGTTATTTGTGTACAGAGGAGTGTGAGTCTGGCTCCGGTCTCAATTCCTGTTACTGTGGCATCTTAGGCAAGGCCACAGGTGCAGTGCCAGGGGCAGTAAGGGCACTTCTCTAATTGCCATGGTGTTCTGACTCGCCAAATCATTCCCTGGGGGATACTTTATGGACTCCAGTCACACTGAGTGTTTCTGGCAAAAATCACTCTTGTGAAAGGTGCCAGCTGCCTGGAGAGCTTTGTTCTGCTCCAGCAGGCGTCCAGGTCACGCTATCTGTGCTGTGGTAGCTGGGCTCTGCTCCTCGCGGGCGCCAGCACGTGCTGTGTCCAGATGTTGAGGTCCAAGTTGAGCTGGTAGGGTGAGTTCAGATCAGTTCAGAGGGACTGTTTGCAAACCTCTGTGCCTCATTATGCTTTATTTACTCTTTCTAGCTGTCTAATGCCCTACTGGAGAAAGAAGTGATAAATTATGATGACATTGAAGCTTTGATTGGGCCTCCACCCTACGGGCCAAAGAAAATGATAGCTCCTCAGAGCTGGCTTCAAGCAGAGAGAGACAAGCAAGACACTCGAGATGAAGAAGTGCCCCAGCAGCCACCAAACCATGAGGAGGAGGAAGAACCACGCCTGAGGCCAGTGTGAAGGCCACTCCTGATGCAGAACGGGAGGACTCTAGAAGCTTCTTTTGAACACAAACCCTTTCTCTTCTCAGCTCTGAAATCAAAAATAAAGAGCAGGGCATCTCTGTGTTGCTACTTCCCTGAAATTAAAGGAATGGCTACGTTTAGTCTTGTAACACAAGCTTTAACCTGCAGGGAGGAGAACTGAAGATTTTGGAATTGATTCTCAGCAGGATATTAGTGATTAATCTGCTGGAAAGAGTGTGTTTACACGAGCAGTGTGTGCCTTCGTAAGGGTGATGGATGGTGTGGAGTCCTTGTGTGCTGTGCATGCAGGAGTGCACTGCTGTTCTCAGCACCAGAATGGTCAGCACAGTGGAAGGCAGCAGGGCTCTGCTGGGTACGGTGCTGTAGCTGTTATGCAGCTGTGCTCATCTCTGCTGCTGAACACAGAATAGGAAACAAACTTCACTAGAATGAATTATCTTGAATGTGCTGCTGCGTTTGTAGAATATGTGCTTACTACAGCTGTGGAGTTGTGTAGGAGGTGGGCTTTCTTTTCCCCCAATTGGTAGCTTCTATTTGATTTTTATAGCAAGGGTTTCAGAAGCAGAGAATGAGGGAACCTGTGTTCATAACCCAGCATAACCTGATGGTGTGATGTTAGGAAGCAGCACTGCAGGGAATGGCTCCAGTGTGTGTTGGCAGACTGCTGAGCAGTGCTGCTGTTTGTAGGGATGGAGTTATGCTCGGTTCACTCAAATGCAGATGCTCTTCCTGGGTGCATCTGCACAAACTTGGCACTTCTGCTGTCCCTGTCCTCGTGGCTGTTGGCAAAACACGCTGTGATGAAATGGTTGACTGCTGTTCATCAGGGAAAGATCAAAGTGATCATTGGTGCTTGTTGTGCTCTGGCTTGGTAAGGCCCCTTCAGGAAGGATTCTTGTCTGCAGTTTTTCCATGAGTACTGACTGTGACCTGAAAGACCTCAGCTTTCAATTCCCAGCCCTCAGGCCTTCATCTTGGAGTCAGATTGGAGCTGAGCCCTCCCTTGGGAGTGGAGAGAAGGTTGATCCACGTGGCTCACCTGGGTGCCCCCGAGCTGTGCTGCTGACCCGGCCGTGCTGGGCCTCGTGCCCATGGTGGGGACGCTGCCCTGTTCTTGGGCAGAAATGATTTGCTCAGCTGGGGATGCTATTGCCTATGCTTTTTTTCTTTTCTTTCAGACCTCTTTGATTCCTTACAGGTGGTTCATTCTCTCAATTTGTTTGTCTAGCAACAGGTGGAAAATGTTTTGATTTGTTTGTCAAACAGGATGGCTGAATTCCGAGCTGCCTCAATAAACTTTTTGACACGAGGATTCAAGTCTGTGACTGTGCTGCTGCTGCTGTGCTGCTGGCACAGCCTCGCCCCTGCAGGGGGTGCAGGGGGTGCAGGGGATGCAGGGCTCCCCGTGCCATCTAGCCGTACGCTGCCTTCCCTGAGGCTGCAGCAGGATCCAACCTCTGCAAAGGTCCGGTGCTCCCTGACCTCGGTCCCACTGCTGCACGGGTGCTGCTTTGAGCACGTTCGAGATGGGGCTGTGGTAGAGGGTAGCAAGGAGGCAACCAGCAGCGTGCCCGCATTCCTGCGGGAGCCGGGGAAGGAGCGCCGAGCCCGCTGCCCAGTCGCCAGCGTGAGGTACGGGCTGTTTAAATTCGACGCCATCTTTATTTTGGGTGCGGTGAAGCCGCTTCCAGATGTTTCCGGAACCGTCGTTCTCATTGGGCCGTACGTACGGCCCTTCCTATTGGCCATTGCCACCACACTTCCGGCGTGCGCCGCGCCGCCGCTTCCTTTTCCGGTCGGCCATTTTCCGTGGCGGGAGGTGAGTGGCGGCTCTGCCGCGGTTGGGGTGGGCTCCATCCGCTGCCATCCGCCCGCCGAGAGCCGCGCCGGGCCCGGGAGCGCTCGGAGGCCGCTCGGAGCCCCGCGCCGGTCCCGGGGGGCTGGGGCTGGGCCCCGAGAGCGGCTCTCACGGGGACTGGGGCTCGGGCTCGGCCTGCAACGGGCCTTCTCGAGTACCGGGACCCTGCAGCCCCGGCAGCCGCCTCTAGCCCTGCCCGTGTCCGCAGGCCCGAGCAGCCATGGCGCCCAGCCGCAATGGCATGATCCTGAAGCCGCACTTCCATAAGGACTGGCAGCGACGAGTGGCCACGTGGTTCAACCAGCCCGCCCGCAAGATCCGCAGGTGAGTGCCGCCGGGCCGCGCGCGGCCTGCAGCGCTGCTCGGGAGGGCGCCGGTGTCACCGCGGGGCGCACAGCCGGGACGGGGCCCTCGGGGGTTGGTCCGGCCGCAGTCAGGTGATGAGAAGTCTCCGGAATCGCTGTACTGCATTGATGATTCCCTTGAACCCTTGTCTATCTGATGGCTGCGGCGGCTCTGCAGTGCCGACGCTCGTCCGTCCCAGCTGCTCGCTCGGTGTCCCGGTTGTTTTTGGGCGAACCCCGCGTGGCAGGCGCTGCCCTGCCGGGGAGCACAGCGAGCTGAGCGCTGTCTCTGGCAGCCATACCTCTTTCTGACCGCTGTTCCCCGCACTGCAGGAGGAAGGCTCGCCAGGCAAAGGCTCGTCGCATCGCGCCTCGCCCCGTGGCTGGGCCCATCCGGCCCATTGTGAGGTGCCCGACTGTCAGATACCACAAAAAAGTTCGTGCTGGCAGAGGCTTCAGCCTAGAAGAGCTTAAAGTAAGTATGGAGAGCCCATCCTCGCTGATGAAACTCACTGCCGATCTCGAGTTGGGTTGTCCTGCTCTGTTGTATGAATGATAGTTGAGTTCAGCACTGTGCTGCAGTGTCAGCATCTGCGTGCCTCTGCAGCAGTGGGATGGGGAAGGAGTGGTTGTGTCAGTGAAAGGTTGGTTTGAAGAGTAAATATCGCTGTGTCTGTGGTTGGGCTGTCAGGTACTACGGTTGGTTTAAAATCAGATTTGGGCAGAGCTTGAATTGAGGCTCCTCACCTTCACTTCAAATAAAAGCTGTGTAAAGAGCAGCTTGTGATCACCTTAAGGTCTCCAGCACCCTCACCTTGCTTTAGAATGTGTCCTGTGCTCCCTGCTCCCGGGAGCTGCTGGTGTTGGGTTGCAGCAGGAAGCGTTGGGCACTGCTGGCAGCCGGCGTCCACAGCCTCCCCTCGTGTCCTGTTCAGAACCTCATAAAAATGCAGCAGTGAGATTAGTGCATCAGAGCAGTAAGGCTGTAGTTTTCAAACCAGATTCCTCATTCCACAACTTCATATGGTGTGTACCAGAGCCTGAACACCCCGCTCATCACTGCTCAGGAAATCCATCTGTGTGGTGCTGTTGAAGGGTGCCCTGCCTCTTGATCTGCTCTGTGCTGGACCCGCAGCAGCGCGGTGCTGACTGCTGTCTCTGTGCTCTCTCTTTAGCTGGCTGGCATTAACAAAAGGTTCGCTCGGACCATTGGGATCTCCGTGGATCCCAGGCGAAGAAACAAATCTACAGAGTCCCTGCAGGCCAACGTGCAGCGGCTGAAGGAGTATCGCTCCAAGCTTATCCTCTTCCCAAGGAAGCCTTCTGCACCTAAGAAAGGAGACAGCTCTGTAAGTGCCTGCCTGTTAGGAACGTGTGACAGAGCCTATTTCTGCTCACTTCTGCAGGGCTTTGGCCCTCAGCCCGTCCTCTGGTGCCCAGGCTGTTCTTGAATCCTTGTAGTAACACAGGCCTGGAGGAGGAGGGCGTGTTGGTTCCGTGCACAGATGCAGTTGGTGACTGCCTACAGGGCTGGGATGGGTGGAGCTGGGCTCTCTGGTGCTGGCTATGCTGGGGCTGCCAGGAGTGCAGCAGTGCTTCTGGGCTGGGGGCTGTTGTGCTGCTGGAGGTGCAGCTCGGATGTGGAGCTGCTCTGTTTTGGCCTGCTGAATTATAGTTCATGACGCCAAAGTGTCAGAACAAAAAGGCTGGCTGAGGCATCTGCTGTGCTGCCATGATAGCTGTATGGAAGGGGTGGGAAGGCAAGGAGCTTCTCCGAGTTATTCAGTGCAAGGAGGGATGAGAGGGAATCTCCAGAAGGCTGCTGCTGTTGGTGTGCAGAAATGGTTTCCACTAAAATCTCACCTGGATCCAGAGTGGAGTCGGCTTTTGTCGTGTTCTTGGCTGTTGTGTTGCAGATGCACGCTTCCCACAGGGAGGTGCAGGTAATGCAGCGAGGCTGCGTGTTCCAGCTGCTTTCAGTCTTGTGCAGAGTCTTGTCTGCCCTGAGCTGCTTTTACTCAGTGCTGCCTGCAGGGCTGGAGCTCCTTTGGGCTGCTTCCAGAGCAGGAAAGGGGCTTGACACCTTATGCAGCCAGGCTGGATGTGGATGTTGTGCTGCTGTGGCAGCTTGGTACTCAGGGTGCTGCCCTGTGGTGAGACTTGTGGGACTGGTGGAAGTGTGGACGTGAGGATTGTGAAGTCAGAACTCCTTCTGAGCCTTGGGTGCCTGTGCAGAAGGTGGATTTTTTCCAAATTGCTGTGGGCAGCGCACAGCATCTTTGCCAAACAGATTCTATTCTAGTTTTAAATCGGCTGCCAACACAAACCTGTAACTTAGTACATTCAGCGCAGCTTTCAGGTTGTCTGCTGCAATCTGTTTCTGATATCAGCAGATAAAGATACTTGTTTGGATACTTGTTTGTGTTTCAAATTTATTTCCTTGAAGCTTCGGATAGCTGATTTATTCATTTCTGCCGCTCACGCCAGAAGCTGGAATTGGCTGTGGAAGGAATTGCTGAGCAGGCAGCCTGAAAACGGCCCAGGGGGGCAGCAATGCTTTTCCAGTTGGCAGAACTCCTGAAAGGCCACTGCTGGCCTGGCTGGGAGGGCAGATGGACGGCCAGGAAGGTGCACGTTGTTGGTGCAGCACCTCCGTGCCAAGTGCAGCTGGGTGAGGGAAGCGCTGTGTTGGTTCCTGCTGCTGTTAGATCTCCGCTCAGAATGGCTGAGTGTTCTTCAAGCTGTGCACCAGGCACTCGTTTCATGGAGGCGCTGCGATGAGAGATGCTACGTTTCTGTTTCTGAAATGCTTTTTTTTCTCTCTTTGTTTTGCAGCCTGAGGAACTCAAGATGGCGACTCAGCTGTCCGGACCTGTTATGCCCATCAGGAACGTAAGTGTGACCCTGAATCTTGTCCTCCGTGGGGTGTCGCAGAGCAGCTCCCCACACGAGGGTGCTGTGAGGACGTGGGTGACGACCTCAGGCACCTCCTGTCTGCTGGGCTGCGGGCAGGGGCGCCTCTGTCCCTTTGTGTCTGTGCTGCAGCCTCGTGTGGCAGCCCCAGCAGCTCAGCTGCTGAGCTCTGACGCTGGAAGATGCTGTGCAAACCTGACTCACATTTCGTTTTGTGTTTGTTTGTGTGTTGGGTTTTTTTTCCTGGTGTTTTCTGCTCGTCCGCTGACGTGCGTTGGCAAATGAGAAACTGGTGGAAATGAGGTGCCTGGTGGAGTGATGATAAGGGCAGGGCCTGGGGATTGCACAGATCTTGCATTCTTAGCAGCATCTTGGAGCCGGCGGTAGAAATATGACGAGATTAATGGTGTTAAGCCTTCAGCGCCGTCTCGTTGGCAGCCTGTGATGCGCAGTGTGACTGCCGGGCTCTCTCCCCCATTAGGTTTTCAAACGGGAGAAGGCCCGCGTTATCTCAGAGGAGGAGAAGAACTTCAAGGCCTTTGCCAGCCTGCGCATGGCCCGGGCCAACGCTCGGCTCTTTGGGATCCGTGCAAAACGCGCCAAGGAAGCGGCAGAGCAGGACGTGGAGAAGAAGAAATGAACTGTTCTCCCCAGAACTGTCAATAAAAAACGATGGAAACGGAGCGGTGTGTGGTGTGTTGTGGGGCGGCGGTGGGGTGTTCTGCCCTGCCTGCCGTGTGGGGCCCTGTGCTGGGCTGCTGTGCGGGCGTGGGGAGTCTTGTGCTCTGTGCTCAGACTGCAGCCTTCCTCAGCAGCAAGGAAAGCGAAGCCCCGTGCCGGCGCTGTTCAGGTAGGGTGGTTTGCTTTGTCTGCAGGGACGCAGCGTTGCCTTCATCTGCCCGCGTTGAGCTTTGAGATCCCTGAGCCGCGGCCCGGTGCCGTGCGGCTGGACGGCGCTGTTGGCTCTGTTGGCTCCTGCCTTGGAGGGGTGAGTGCGAAATCGCATCTCTGCTGTTGCGGGCGTGCTGTGCTCAGCGCCAGCCGGGTGGGGGCTGCAAAGGAGAGCTGCCCCGAGGTGGCTCCAGGGCCCGGAGCGCTGTGCGGCCGTGGCATCGCTCGGGCGCTGGTCCCCGCTTCCGGGCGTTGGTCGGAAGCTCTGCAGCTCGCTGCTGCTGCTGCTGCCGCCGCTGGGTGGAG